CAAATAAAATTAGGAATCAAATTTTTGGAAAGAAAAAATTAAAATTGCGTAAAAAATGATCACGTAGATACAAAGTAGTTTAATTTTTAAAATATTAAAATTGTAATTATATTCTTTACGATTTCAGTGTTATTTTCATCTAGCAAGTAGATACAAAGTAGTTTAATTTTTAAAATATTAAAATTGTAATTACATTCTTTACGATTTCAGTGTTATTTTCATCTAGCAGGTAAATACAAAATATTTTAATTTTTAAAATATAAAAATTGTAAATACATTCTTCTCGATTGCTCGCCATATATTTCGATATAATTTGAAAAAAAAAATCTATTTTTTTTCCTACAATTCACAAATTTTAGCAAGGTTATTTGTGAGTAATACTGCCTAACACACTGTTTGCCTTCAAATAGTGGGTTTGATAGGTGTCAAGCCAAGTCACAAAAAATTGGACCACGACAGACCACTAAAGATGTAAATATAAAGAAATTGTCTTGGTTGGTGGTTAAGAACCAAGGCGCATGAGACCGAGACACCAACAGATCGACAATTTCCCTTGGCTGGTGGTTAGACGCGGGCACCAGTGACCCCCTCCGAAGCCGGGGAGATAGGTGGGGCCCCGAAACCCACTGCTGGCCAAGACTCATGCAGAGCTCCAGAAGAGGCAGAAAAGATGAAACAACCGGTTCGGTGGGCGCAGTGGTCCTGCTGCTGAAAGAGGGGGTGGCGACGATGTTTTCAAATTTGCTTTTTCCGAAAGAGAAGAGGGGCGAGAGAAGTTTTGCGCTGCCGAAAAAGGGGGTGGTGACTATGTTTTCAGATTTGCTTTTTTCGAAAGAGAAGAGGGGCGAGAGAAGTTTTGCTTAGGACAGGAGACCGACGTTTTTAGGTTTTTTTTGTGAGTGTCGACCTAAGACAGTACTTGGAAAGTCGGTTAAAGAGGCCAACATATACGATGTACGGGCTATATGGTTGTATAGGAGCGATTTATTATATTATCGGCTAGATAAAAGAGAAACATATACTCGTATATTTTAATATGAAAGCTTTGAAATTCGAGGAGATTTCTCTAAAGAATCTTGTGCGAGTATAAAATTAAATCCATATGAATATCTCAATATGAGATAGAAGTAACCCTAATCTTGAACTATTACCATTTACAATGGATAATTATCCATACAAAAGTTTTATGATAACTTACTTGACTTGATCGGAGTTTTCCATTGAACACATTCCTCGGTGTATATATTACCAAAGACCACATTTCAAGCGAGAATTTATATAAGGCACAGTTCATCATGGGTATTACTATTTACCGTCCCCTTTTACTAATCACTGTCTCCCAATTATGTTTTTGCCCTTCATCTTATCTCTCTACTTTATCTCTCTACTCTTTCCCTCTCGACTTTTCACGGCTCTTTTGACCGTAAAAAAAATTTCAAAAAAATCCAAAAAAAATACCATGACATCGGCAAGACATTAAAAATTGATTATGTATTTTTTAATATTTTTTTACTTTATAAATAATTTTTTAAATTTTTTTTATTTTTTTTTCGCGTCCGACCGGACGGACCGGACACACCAATGGGTGTCCGGCCGGACGGACCGGACACACCAATGGGTGTCCGGCCGGACGGACCGGACAAGTAATATAGCGTCCGGCCGAACCGGCCGGACACCAATGGGTGCGTCCGGTCCATCCGGCCGGACACCCATTGGTGTGTCCGGTCCGTCCGGCCGGACGCGAAAAAAAAAATAAAAAGAAAATTAAAAAAATATTTTTAAAGTGAAAAAATATAAGAAAAAAAATACATGGTTAATCTTCATGTCTTGCCGATGTCATGGTATTTTTTTCGGATTTTTTCGACATTTTTTTTACGGTCAAAAGAGTCGTGAAAAGTCGAGAGGGAAAAAGTAGATAGAGAAAGTAGAGAGATAGTGTGAAGGGCAAAAACATAATTGAAGGGGCGGTGATTAGTAAAAGAGGGGCGATAAATAACAATTCACTTCATCTATTGTGGATGACAAACTAACAATAAAAATGGATGTGCGTAAAATTTATATATTGTCTGTCTACAATATACTCCACAATTTTGCATTACATATATAATATTTGAATCATCACAAACTAATATTTTTAAATCTTAACTTTTGAAACTTGACATTTAAGCTATGTTTGGTAAAACTAATTGATAGCTGATAAATTAACTTATAGCTTATTAGTAATTGCCGAACTTATATAGCTTATATCTTATGACTTATAGTTGAAAATATAACTTATATGATAAAAGTGCTTGGTAAAATTAGCTATAAGCTAGCTGAAATAAAAATTTCAACAAGATTATTTGAAAAGCTACCAAAAAAGGTTTATCAAATAAACTCGAGCTTTTTAAATAATCTCGTTCTATCAAACGGAGCCTTTTTAAATACAAAGAGTTTTTTTTAAATACATGAAGCTTATAAACTAATCAAATAAGCTATAAGCTACCTTACTTGTCTACCAAACATAACATTAAAGTTAGTCCAATTTCAATCACAATTTTTCTTTTATTCTAATCAAGTCACATGACTTTAATTTATGGACAAAGTCCACTTTTGGTCCTCCATGTTTAGGGGGTATCCAGACTGAGTCCCCATTATTTTTTGCTGCCCAATTTTAGTCCTTAAAACAAAAAAATGTAGTCCCTATTATGTTTTGATGCCCAATTTTAGTCCTTAAAATAAAAAATGTAGTCCGTATTATGTTTTGGTGCCCAATTTTAGTCCTTAAAACAAAAAATGTAGTCCCTATTATGTTTTCGTGCCCAATTTTAGTCCTTAAAACAAATAAATATAGTCCCTATTATGTTTGGGTGCCCAATTTTAGTCCTAAAAATAAAAAAATGTAGTCCATATTATGTTTTGGTGCCCAATTTTAGTCCTAAAAACCAAAAAATGTAGTTCCTTAACCTCAATTTATGTGAATTAACGGTCCATTTTTGTTAATAACATCAAAGTAGTTGTGTAAAATAATTTAAAACATCGAAAAGATGTAATCAAATTTCAAAAGAACAAATTATTGACTGTAATCAGGTCAATAATTTAATATTTAATAATTAATAATTATGCAATGAATGTATCATAATTTTAAAATAATATTTAATAATTAATAATTTTAAAATAATATTTAATAATTTAATCAGGTCAATAATTTAATATTTTAAAATAATATTTAATAATTTAATATTTAATAATTAATAATTTTAAATATTAAAATAATTTAATAAGTAATAAGTAATAATTATGCAATGAATGTATCATAATTTTTATAATCAGGTCAATAATTTGTTCCTTTGAAATTTGATTACATCTTTCCGATGTTTTAAATTATTTTACACAACTACTTTGATGTTATTAACAAAAATGGACCGTTAATTCACATAAATTGAGGTTAAGGGACTACATTTTTTGGTTTTTAGGACTAAAATTGGACACCAAAACATAATATGGACTACATTTTTTATTTTTAGGACTAAAATTGAGCACCCAAACATAATAGGGACTATATTTATTTGTTTTAAGGACTAAAATTGGGCACGAAAACATAATAGGGACTACATTTTTTGTTTTAAGGACTAAAATTGGGCACCAAAATATAATAGGGACTACATTTTTTATTTTAAGGACTAAAATTGGGCACCAAAACATAATAGGGACTACATTTTTTTGTTTTAAGGACTAAAATTGGGCAGCAAAAAATAATGGGGACTCAGTCTGGATACCCCCTAAACATGGAGGACCAAAAGTGGACTTTGTCGTTAATTTATTTCAACTATATAATCATCGAATTTTTAACTTTGAGATCAACAATAAAAACCCAATAACACATCCAACAATAAAACATGTTGAAATCAACCCAATTTGACACCCCTAGCCACAGTGTATGGAGTTATCTATAACTTTATGTATTGACTTGTAGGACACGTGTCAATACATCATTTGTGAATAATTATGGATGACTCCATAAGCCGAGCCATCCGATTACTCAATAGCAAAACCGATAATAAACGAAGGTTAGGTATATATAATTATTAATTGACAAAATTGTCCACTCAAAACTAAAGTCTTTTTCATACTAGCCCAACACAAAATGGAAACCGAACAGGCAACATTAATACGAAGAGAAACCCCTTATTTAATTTTCAACCAACCACCAATTTTTCCCCCTTTTTGTTTCTGGTAAATTTTCATTTTTTTTTTTTTTCATTTTTCATGGTAATTGAATTAGTATTATTGGTTGGGACCTCCTCGGTTGGTGGTGGGGGGAATAAATGCCCTTCTTTTCTGTGCTGAAAACAGACCCTACAGTAGAAAAATCGCTTTCTTTTCTAACAGACACAATGGCTTGTTCATTTGTTTGTACGTTCGTAGCCTAAGAATGCCATTGCCCAATATAATCTTTAATTAGCACTCACCAAAAGACGACAGCCATGAAAAATTGTGGGTTGTGTGTGTGTGTGTGTGTGTGTGAGAGAGAGAGAGAGAGAGAGAGAGGTTGAGCTTACTTGGCTTCGCTGTAACAAACATCTGACGTCTGGCTGAAAGAGAGAGCATTAAATTAATGAAATTTTCTGTCCGATGCCTCTCTCTCTCTTGCCAGTCAAGGCTGGCAATTTTCCCATTTCATCACCTCTCTCTCTCTCTCTCTCTCTCTCTCACTCTCACACACACACACTTACATCTCTCTACTTCTTGAATCTGTAAAAGCAAGAAAATTAAAAAAAAAAAACCCACACTCTGGCTCACATGCACATTTGTGCAGAAACCCCACTTCATTTTTTTCACTGACGAAGATTCCAAAGATCAGTGCAAGATCAAATTTTTCCTTGTACAACTCATAAAGATTGAATCTTGGGAGATTCTGCTTCCATTTTCGAACGAGGGTCATCGTATGTGCAGAGGCAGAGATCAAGAATTGGATCCAGTGGGCTTATTATAATGCTGGGGGTTATGTTGGAAACAACATGGCAAGACTAGGTACAACCTCCCACTGTATTTTGTTTGCATTCATTTCATTAGAGCTTGCCCTAGTCACAGTTGCTCCAGTTGCTGAAAAGGAGATTCTGCTCCAATTTAAGGGTAACATTTCTAGTGACCCTTTTCAAAGTTTGAGTTCTTGGGATCCCAGCAAAAGCCCTTGCCTAGATTATAGCGGCGTGTACTGTGATTCGAATGGAAATGTGGTGAAGATTTTGTTGTGGAACACTAGTCTTGGTGGGGTGTTGTCTCCGGCATTGTCCGGATTGAAGTCTCTGAGGATTATAACCTTGTACGGTAATGAGTTCACCGGTAATATCCCTTCAGAATACGGAGATATTGGTACGTTGTGGAAGATTAACTTGAGCTCCAATGCGCTTTCGGGGTCAATCCCCGAGTTTCTAGGTGATTTGCCCAACATCAGATTTCTTGATTTATCAAGGAATGGGTTTAGTGGGGAGATCCCTCAGGCATTGTTTGGGAATTGTTATCGAACAAGGTTTGTTTCCTTGGCGCATAACAATCTTTCGGGGCCTGTCCCCATCTCTATCCGTAATTGCTTGAACTTAGAAGGTATAGATTTGTCGTTTAATGGTCTTACCGGGTTGTTTCCCGAAGAGATTTGTAGAATTCCTACATTGACGTACTTGTCTGTTAGAAATAATTTTCTATCTGGAAATGTCCAAGATCAGGTCTCAAGATGTCAAAGCTTGGAGGTTTTGGATCTCGGTAGCAATATGTTTAGTGGGCCCGGTCCATTCGAGGTTCTCGGATCGGCGAATCTGTTGTACTTGAATATCTCGTGGAATAGGTTCGAAGGAGAGATCCTGGAGATAATAACTTGCCCCGGAAGTTTTGAATTTCTTGATGTGTCGGGGAATGGTTTGTATGGAGAAATTCCCCAAAGCATTGTCAAATGCAGTGGCCTTAGGTACTTGGATTTGGGTTTTAACAGGTTTGGTGGAGGTATACCACTTGGACTATCGGGTTTGAAGAGCCTCTCGTTCGTTCGACTGGCAAATAACTCGATAGACGGAACAATCCCCGCAGAAGTCGGGAATATTGAATTGCTTCAAGTGCTCGACTTAAGCAACCTTCGACTCAGTGGTGAAATCCCAGCTGAGATAACCCGTTGCCGTTATCTTCTCGAGCTGTGAGTTATATAAACTTTTTTCATTTCATTAATGTATTAAATCAACTTTTCTTTCCGGTTTAACTGATATGGATATCTGAAAAATGTACCTGCAGGGATCTTTCCGGAAACTTCCTGGAGGGAGAGGTTCCGGTGAACCTAGACAACATGACGTACCTTCTAATTCTTGACGTGCACCACAATCGCCTCAACGGAGTCATACCACCAACAATCGGGAATCTGTCGAACTTACATTCTTTAGATTTTTCGGAAAATTCACTCTCTGGTCCAATCCCCACGACACTAGGAAATTTAAACAACTTAACCGATTTCAACGTCTCGTACAACAACCTTTCCGGTGCTATACCCTCGATACAAATCATCCAGCAGTTTGGCTTCTCTGCTTTTTTTCACAATCCGGGACTTTGTGGAGCCCCATTGGACAACCCGTGTTCAGGCCGTGCTTCTTCAACCTCGGCTGCAAGAAAACCAAAATTAAGCGCTTCAGCCATTGTTGCCATAGTTGCTGCTGCCTTAATCGTGACCGGCGTTTGCATTATTACCGTCATTAACATGCGGGCCCGCAAAATGCGGAAAGAAGATGGCCGCCAAACTATGGTTGTTGAGAGCACTCCGCCTCTTACCTCGACAGAATCAAATGTCATTATCGGGAAACTTGTACTCTTCAGCAGAAGTCTGCCCTCGAGGTATGAAGACTGGGAGATAGGCACAAAGGCTTTGCTCGACAAGGAATGCCTGATAGGCGGGGGCTCGATCGGGTCAGTGTACAAAACCACATTCGAGGGAGGGACCTCCATTGCCGTTAAGAAAATCGAGACGCTCGGGAGAATCCGAAATCAAGACGAGTTTGAGCACGAAATCGGACGTCTCGGGAGCCTCCGGCACCCGAATCTTGTTCCTGTCCAAGGATACTATTGGTCATCCACCATGCGGTTAATTCTTACTGAATTCATCCCAAAAGGGAATTTGTACGAAAACTTGCATGGGCTCGGTTACCCTGGAACGAGTACAAGCTCGGGTAATCCGGAGCTAAATTGGCCGAGAAGGTTTGGGATAGCTGTTGGGACAGCTCGAGCCCTCGCCTACCTTCACCATGACTGCAAGCCTCCGGTTTTTCATCTTGACATCAAGTCCACTAACATACTCTTGGATGAGAATTACACAGCAAAGATATCCGATTTTGGCTTGGTGAAATTTCTCCCCATGCTCGACAGTTATGGTTTCACGAAGATGCACAGTGTGGTCGGGTATGTTGCACCCGAGCTGGCTCGAAGTTCGAGAATTAGCGACAAATGCGATGTTTATAGTTTTGGGGTTATCCTATTGGAGTTGGTTACTGGAAGAAAGCCTGTGGAGAGGCTCGGGGCTAATGAGGTGGTGATTTTAGGCGAGTTTGTTAGGGGTGTAATAGAAAGAGGTTCGGCTTCTGGATGTTTTGACAGAAGTTTGAGAGGATATGCAGAGAATGAGATGATTCAAGTGATGAAGTTGGGATTGGTCTGCACGTCTGAGGTGGCCTCGAGGAGGCCGAGCATGGCCGAAGCTGTTCAGGTTCTTGAGTCGATAAGAAACGGTTTGGAATCGTGAGGGATGAACGCGGATGGTAATTATTTATTTATTCTTTACCGAAATTCGTTGTGAAGGCTACCGTTTGCAGTTGATTATTTTGTAGTTAGCAATAAGATAATTGTAAGTTTTTTGCATTCTTTTGTAGCTTATGGTAGATGAAAGGAATTGATCTCTCCAATTCACAGATGTTTGCATATTGATAAGTGGAATATATAGCTTTGCCTGATAAAACCAAGTTTTCTATGTTTTTTCAAGTAACAGTTAGGCTAAAATTTGGGTGATCTAAAGCCTAAAGGAATGCCTTTTAACAATAGTCTCAATTTCAGATGTGAATTATGAATGAACAAAGAACACCTCACAGGTTTCCAACTCCATCAACCCATCAAGTGGCTGATATGCTGCGGTCCCGCTTATGCTCGACCCACTAGGATGACTCGTTAGCCAGTCTCGAACCAAATTCCATGGCAACTCGTTTACCAGAGAGAAGAGGAAATTAGAAAGAACTCATATTCTGTAAGTAAGTAAAACACGGTTCAACTTGATGAAAATACAGCCCAAGTACCGAACACCAGTTCTCATCGAACGCATACTAATTCAGCATTCAGAATTGTATGCATTTGCTCCAATCTTAAGAACTTGCATAGCAAATTATAGAAGCACAAACACTCATCATACAAAGTTAAGAAGAAAATCAAGAAAGATAAATTACCTGACACATAAAAGCAATACAATAACACACAAGAAATGAGCATGCAAAATTGCAAAGACAATCAAATCTTTTGAATTCGTCAAAAAAACCGACCCTGTCCTCAGCCAAACAGAGCTGAATAACACCATCCGGCGGCTGTCGCCGCCACCCTCACTGATCTTGAGGTACAGCTGGAGGAAATAGAAGAGGGCGCAGGGGATGACCGAGCACAAGAAAAGGCCCCCGTGGCCCTGCACGATTCCTTGCAAGGGCACCACCACCCTCATCGCTGCCGCCGGTGGTGGTGGAAGAGGGAGATAAGCCTTTAGGTTTGCTCATGACCACGTCAATTTTCTTGTTTTCTTTATCGATAAATATCTTTAATTTGCTTGAATGGCCACTGAAATTGCAGGACAATTATAGTACTGTTCTTGCAGAACTTTGATGAGATTGGAAATGAAAATTTTGAAATAAGGTAATAGGCGTTGGGTTGAATGATGATGAAATTGCGCGGTTAAAGTTTTCCTGCTTTTAGGCGGATAAAGTTGGCTCCTTTTTGTGGGAAATGCTACGGGTCCCGTTACGGCACCATGCTGTTGGTTATTTTAACTCGACGGGATGGTACCGTAACAGGACCACAACATTTCCCTCTTTTTGTACTTGTTCAGTTTTGCTTGAATTGTGTTGGAGAAGGTTGAATTTACATATTTATCCTCCCACATTATTTTCCATTTAGCATTGCAAAATGAATTGAGCAGAACACTTGAGTCGACGCTTGATTAGAGCTCGAGTTTGATGAAGCTCGAATTGAGGTCGAGTACATTTAATTCAATCTCAAATTGGAGCCTTATTGTTTGCGCGTTACAGTGTTCAACGTACTATCTGAGTATTAGTGAGATTGCTAATTAAATTTTCTTAAATAGTTTAAAATCGAAATTTTGAGTCAAACTCAAACAAAATTTTAGCCCGATCAAATTCAAATCAATCTCGAACATTGATGTTATCTTGTTGAGTCGATCCGATACAATCTTAAAATGCTCGGCTCATTGAGTTTGAGCTTAGCTCTAACAATATCGAGCCTAGCTTGATCTGCTGATCGTTTTCGTAGATTTATTATTTTTGTTGTTGCCAGGAAAATAGAGCTTTTAAACAAAATGAGTCGTTCGTGAGTTCGACTTTGTTCAACTAGTTTTATAAACGAGTTCTCCATGAATCTAGGAACTTTTGCTTGCATTGTATTATGAACTTGTTTAAACAAAAGGAATTTTATTATAAGCCTTGCTGTTACAAGTAGACTCCAAATACACCCTTAAGAACTCCCTAAACACAAACAAACTCCTTCGCATCATTATTCAAAACACATTTTCCACGACTAAGTATTCACTTTCACTATTTCAATTTCCAGCACCCCTTTTTCTCCCTGTCCGGTGGTCCGTTAAGCCTCATGTTTTACCCACTCTCTTATCAAACAGCTTCTCCTTATCACCCTCAGAGCCCTTACCTTCCGAACCGTTCTTTCCCATGTTCGCCCATCGCCTTATATCATACGTCCTTTTCACCGATTTCCTCTCCTTCCCTTGCTTTTTCGTCGTTATAGCTATCGCGAGGTCATTGGGGAACAAAGTCTTCCACACGAAAGCATGAAAAACCGTGGAAACAAGCAACACAAAAACCATAGTCGATGACATGAACGAAAGCGCCAAAGCAAGTCCTCTGCTCACTACACACGGGACTTCCTCCGCGTATTTGATGGTAGCTATCGAGGCGGTCGTCATGGGGAAAGTATAAGACCACCACGCAATCGAAAACCTGTCAGCAAAAAAAAAAAAAATGTTGCAATATCACTCGTGGGTTGTCCCACATCGATTCTATAGGGAATATAAGCTATAAACTTTATAAGCTTAGTGGATTACTTCTCCCATCAGCATCTAAGCTCACCCTCTTAAAGTGCGTGTCACCTGTTTTAAACTATAATATAGTACCTAAATCCCCTGAAGAAGTTGATTCGAACAACGAGCGATGAGTATAGAAAAAGGGCTATAAAGAAGCACGTCCGGGCAAGCCCATCAAATTCTCCGTAAATCGCGCCCCAAGCAATGCTTGCTGCAGCCGGGGTCGCTATGAACATGGAGTAAACCGGGTGGAGCTCTTTCGGCAAGGCCTCGCTCGTGGGAAGCCGTTGGTACAGAGTGACGAACACCACAAGGTAGTGCGCGAACCCCACGGCCCACAAAAACTTCCCGGCCTCGGCCCACCCGACCTCTGCCGCCAGCACAGCCCCGACAAAGTTCCCGACCACCGAGAGATGGGAAGACGGGTTGGCCACCTTGCTCAGCCGCCTCTTCCCGCCGGAGAGCCACTGCCCGTAAATCTTGAGGTCGAGGAGAATAACAGGGCCTGCGAACGCGCACCAAAGGGACGGGTGGAGTCGGGCCCCGATCCTGTGCGGCAGCCCTATGGCGAGGAACATGCAGGCGACCCACGGGGCGAAGAAGAAGTTGACCCGGACCGGGTGGAAGTACTCGCGCTTCACGGCCTCGAGGTAGAAGGCGCACTTGAGGGCATAGGTGGCGGAGACCGCCACGAGGGCGGTGACAGCTAGGAGCCAGATGGCGAGGTTGACGAGCGGTGTGACGTGGAGGAATGACGTGGCGGGGCTCATCGAGAGGGCCCGCCAGAGGATGGCCTGGCTGCTGAGCCCGAGGCAGATGCCGAAGCAACCGATTGGGAAGCGGAGGAGAAAGGGCCACGTTTCGTCTTTCGGTAAGAGTATGTCTTCCGAATCCTGCACGAGACGAAAAAAATTTGGCCTGTCTCACAAATGGTGTAATTGTGAGTGCATTATTTGTAAAAGAGTGTTTATATATACCTTCACTTCGTCCAGTTCAGGGCCCCTGAGAGCAGCAAAGTATCTCCCGGCAGGCACACTTTGGTCGAGAGGCTCATTCAGCGGGCCCGACATGTTGTTATGGTCGATGAGCCCACTCTCTTTTCGCAACGGGAGCTTGGAGTTCTGACTGACGAGGTTCGATTTAGTCCGGAACATTCTGAAATCGCCTTTGTTATTCCTGCCTTCGGGGAGGCCGATTCTGTGTGAGGATCCAAATCCTCCGAAACTGTTTCCGCTTCTCGACAGAGTTTTGGTCTCGCCGTTGAGCTTGGAGAATCCGGTTTCCAACGAGACCTGCCGGCTGAAGTCCCGGTTGGGCCTTTTTGTCGGTTTGGTCGGTTTTCTGAGGCGTTTTTCTTGTTTGTCGTCGGTTTTCGCGGGCTTGTGATCTCCTTGGCCGACGAACTCATCGTCTACTTCTTCTTCTTCTTCGTCGTGTACTTCGTGGATATCGACAAAATGGGTCCCCGTGGATCTTCTTGAGGTCTCTCTCATTTCCATTTCCCTTTGTGGTTTGTGTTCATGAAACATGATGCTTCAGTTCAATCCTTCTAACTGTTAATAGTTAATGGTGATGATGTATTTATATGTGCAATATCTCACACGTAATGTGTTACTTTTAGGAAGGGACTCTCACATGATCACGAGAAGCAGATTCATTTTAAGTACTTTTTGCTTTGGTGGTGGTGGTTTTTTTTGGTATTGTTCTTGAACTCCAACCAAGTTTTTTTATTTACTTTTTTTGTAGCTTTTCTTGTTCTTGCTGTTTTTTTTTTCAGCAAATGGCCTTTGTTTAGGGCCTTTTCTCGTGATGGGAGAGAGTGATATGCAGGCCACCTGTGGTTCAAAAAAAAATAAAAAAAAAATCAGTTTTCTGTGAAGTATTTGAATAAAATAGATCATATAATAGGAAAATGTTACGGTCTCGTTACGGAACTATTCCGTCGAGGTTTGTAATCGTTAGATCATCATGTAACCGTCGAGGATAACGGTTACAAACCCCGACGGAATGGTTCCGTAACGGGACCGTAGCATCTCCACATATAATATAATACTGAAATTATATGCAAGAAGCTCAACTGTGTAGGAGATTTTGAATTACACAAGCCCTGGAATGTGCTTGATCAGCACCTTAACCACAAGTGCAATTATTATACAGTAACTACACAATATACTAACAAAATTACAAATAGTTTAGTTTAAACAATACACAAAATATAAAATTTGGTAGCTTTCTAAATGATAATATGAAATTAAGAGGTTCTGAAAAAACAAGGGATAAACTTTGGGCTGATGTTTTTACATCTATGTTTGTGGGCAAAGACTGTCTTTTCCTTGCATTATAAAAGTAAACTTGATTTGGAACTTTTATGTGTATGTTGTTGTGCAAAGAATATTAAAATAAAACTATATCAATCGAAAAACGATGAAATGAAATAAGTACAAAATTACTCTATCGAAAGTACAAATCCTCAGTGTTTTTCTCCAAGAACACCAGTGATGTGCTTAAGGCTGACTATTTGTGCTATCTTTAATGGGATTTCTTATGTGAATTACTCTAAGTACTTGAGACTCCCACCGGGTATTGACAAATTTAAAAGGGAGACTTTTCAGTTTGTGCTTGATAATGTTAAAAACAAAGTGGTTTTTTGAAAAAATAACTTGTTGAGTGAGGCAGACTTTACTTGAAACTATTTTAGGAGAAATCACATCCTATGCCATGTCCTGTTTTAATATTCATGTTTCTGTTTTGGTTGGGGTTAATAAAGAAATTGTTGCTTTTTGGTGGGGAAAAAGAGAGGATGGGGGCAATAGAGTTATTGTTTGGGCTTTGCTAAAGCCTGCCACTCAGCCCAAGGTGGCTGGGGGGTTGGGTTTTAGGGATTTTAGGATTTTGGAATCAGGCCTATTTGGTTAAACAAGTATGAAGGGTGGTCAACAATCATAATTTGTTAATGAGTAAATGTTGAGGGGTAAGTATTTGCACAATCAGAGTTTGTTTAGTATTCAAAGGAAAAACATTGATTCTTGGTCGGGGGACTTGGCCTAGTGTTAGGGGTGACTTGGGGAGTGGGATTAAGTTCAGAGTGGGAGAAGGTAGGTCTATTAGATTATGGGACTTCCTTTAGGTTCCTAGTTTGAGAGGAGAAAATCTGAAGTATTCCTTTGAGAGTGATAGGTAGGCTTAGATGGGTTAGTGACTTGATTTGCCAGGAGAGGAGTTGGGATGTTGAGCTTGTGAAGCAGTCTACTCCTTTCATTGCAGGACAAATTCTAAATATACCTCTGAAGAGGGGGGGCCGTTGTGTACAAGATAGTGTGGCAAGGACATAAATTTGGGAGATTCACTCTGAAATCATGTTATGAGATGTTGTTTAAGGTTCCCACTCAGAGGAAGACCATTGCAGAGGCTAGCAGTCAAGGGACCTTGGATAGAAGGCTGTGGATTAGAAGTTGGAAGCTACCAGTTCAAAACAAAGGAAAAAAAACTTTTTTATGGAAATACTGGAATAGCTTCATAGGCACCAACTGCTAGCTAAGGAAGAGAGGAGTGAAAGTGGATGCAATCTGTCAGAATTGTGGGGGAAGAAATGGAGAATCTAGACCACCTATTTTTCTATTACAGATGGGCAAAAGTCTGTTGGAGGTTGTTGGGTGTTCATTGGCAACGACTGGAGGAAGATGTTCTTTTAGAGAGTGGTGGGCTGAAATTATGAATGCTGAAGGGTTCAAAGCCATCAAAGATAGGGTGAGCCTATCCACTTACCTTCTTTGGTAGTTTCGGAAACAAAGAATTGTTGGATTTTGGAAAAAAAGTGGAAGTGTGTAGTTGAAGTGGTAGAGAAAGCAAGACAAGATTGGTTGTACTTTATGGTGGTACCTGGAATTTGGAGTAGCACTGAGCTGGTTTCTTGTACTCAACCTTCAGGGGAATAAGTTTTAGTTAAGGTATGGCGGATTGTTGTTTCTGTCAATGCCCAAAGTTCATATGGAGATGATATTACTGTGCAAGGGAGAGCAGAGAGAGGTGACAGGATACTGAAAATGTGGTCAGGTTTTATACACCAACTAATGAATGCAGAGGAGGAGGACTGGTGGAAGACATGATGGGCTTTGGAGGTATGCGAGGAAGAATGCTAGGAGGACATTGTCTATATTGTTGATCTGGAAAGCACCAAAATGAAGATTGAAGCACGGGTGCAACTGACTTTGGAGAAGATGACCATATTGTTAGTGTTTTCTCTTTAGGATGTTGTTCCTTTGTGTAATATTGTTTAATTGAACTCGAATTTGTAACTATTTTCTTGTGTTTTTTTCCACTCGAGGGGGAACGTGGTATTTTCCCGGGTGCCTAGTTGTACGTGTTGTTAGACTAGGTTGCTTGTAGTTATTTGGCTATGACTTATAAAGACTCGTTTATTTGAGTTTAATTCATGTTTATCGTTTGAAAAAAAAAAGTACAAATTTTTGTTTTGAGATAAAAAAGAGATTTTTTTCTTTTCAATAAAAAGGGATTATAATTAATGTGATATATAAATATTAAATTAATAATCATAAATGATTGGCATTTAAAAATATGCAGGTGAATATATTGAATTTTGTTGGATTAATGAATAGTAATGGTTGATATATACATATATATATATATATATTATTTTTACTTTAAAAAAAAATATTTATATCTAACAATCCAAAACTTGCTTTGTACCACA